GCTGCAACAGCCAAAGCTGGGCCTTTCCAAAGCCAGGAGCCAGGAGCTTCTTCTGGGTCTCCCAAGTGGTTGCAGGTGCATCTCCTACTGCTTTCCCAGGCCATAGGAGAGAGCTGGAATAGAGGAGCAGCCAGGACACGAACAGTCGCCCATATGGCATGCTGGCACTGCAGGCGGAAGCTTAGCCCATTATGCCATAATGCTGCCCCCTTAACTTCTTTTATGACTTCTTAAATTTAGGTCAATTCCTTCATTTCTAATATAAGTGTTTTAAAGCTATAAATCTCCCCCTAGGAACTGCTTAGCTACGCCCCCAAAATTTTCATTCCATTCAAAAAAATTCTTTGACCCATAGGCTATTCAGAAATACATTTTTAGTTTCCACATATATGTTCTGCTTTCCACACATATGTCCTGCTTTTCCACATATTAGGACAGTTTCTACTTTTCAATTGGTGTTTTTCACAAAATTCTCATTTCTGGTGCTCTTTATTTCTATGTTTCCAGATTTATCATTAGTATAATTGTCCTGCTTGCAAGATTTTAAAAACATTTCTTATAATACTGGCCTCTGCTGGTGATGAATTTTCCTAGTCCTCATATATCTGAACTATTCCTTCTGTATTTTACTTTCATTTGAAAAATGCTTTTTTATTTTCATTTTCCTTAAAGGCATAGAGAAAGAGGAGAAAAATCTTTTATCTGTTAGTTCAATCCCCAAATGCTGGCACCAACCAGGTCTGGGTAAGGATGAATCTAGGTGGCAGGAGCTCCAGCCTGGTCTCCAATATGGGTGGCAGCAACACACATACTTGGGCCATTTTCTGCTGCTTTCCCAGGTGCATTAGTGGGAAACTAGATCTAAAACAGCAGAGCCAGGCTTGAACTGGCACTCTAATATGGGATGTCAACATTCCAAGTGGCAACTTAATTGGCTGTATGACACTGCCAATCTGAGAAACAAACTACTTGAGCTATTGCTGGTGTCTCCCAGGATCTGCATTAGCAGCAAGCTGAAGTCAGGAGCTGGAGCCGAGCATCAAACCCAAACATTCCAATATGGGACATGGTGTCTTAACCAGTGTTACAACTGCTATGCTAAACATTTGCCCCAAAATAGAAGCTTAAAGTACTTAAGTGGCATTATTTAAATCAGAAAATTCATCCGGAGACCTAAAATACTAGGAGGAAATAGTTCAGATTATTTTAATATTTATCTTTTTTACGACAAGTAAATTTGTAATGTTAAAAAATGGATAAAATAGGGGCAGCCATTGTCACATGGAGTGAGTGGGATTGAGTCCTAACTCTGTCTCCAATCCAGCTTCCTACTAATGCACACCTTGGGAGGCAGCAGATAATGGCTCAAGTACATTGGGTTCCCCATATGGGAGACCGAGATGGCGCTCCTGGCTCCTGGCTTTGGCCTGGCCCAGACTTGGCAGTTACAGTCATTTGGGAAGTGAACCTGGGAATGGAAGATCTTCCTATCTCTCCCTATTACTCTGCCTTTCAAAAGAAAATTAATCAGGAGCCAGCATTATGGCGTAGTGGGTAAAGCCAGTTAGAGACTGCTACATTTCTGTTCTAGCTCCCTGCCAATGTGCCTAGGAAAGCAGCTGAGAATGGCCTAAGTGCATGGGCCCCTGTACCCACATTGACGACCAGGAAGAAGCTCTTGGCTCCTGGCTTTGGGCAGTTGCAGCCCTCTGGGGAGTGAACCAGCAGATGCAAGGTCTCTCTCTCTCTAACTCTTCCTTCAAATAAACAAATCATTTTTTGAAAGATATTTAATCAAACAACAAATAAATACATTAAATGTCTGAAACCATTAAAAATAAAATTTTTTTAAAAAAAATTAATAAAACGGGACCTGCTGTGGCACAGTGGGTTAAAGTCCCAGCCTGCAGTGCTGGTGTCCCATATGGGCACTGGTTCAAGTCCTGGCTGCTCCACTTCCAATTCAGCTCTCTGCTATGGTCTGGGAAAGCAGTGGAAGATGGCCCAACTCCTTGGGCCCCTGCACCCACATGGGAGACCTGGAAGAAGCTCCTGGCTCTTGGCTTTGGATCAGCTCAGCTCTGGCCATTGCGGTCATTTGGGGAGTGAACCAGTGGAATGGAAGACCTGTCTCTCTCTGTAACTCTTTCAAATAAATAAAATAAATCTAAAAATTAATAAAACGAGTGATAGAGACATTTTATTAATTTATAAAAGAGGCAATCACTAGTGTAAACAAAAAGAGTTAATAGTGATTGCTTATAAGGAGTGAAACTTGAAATGAGATTGGTGTGCTTCTCATAAGCCCTTCAGCAGTTTTTTTTTTCCATAACATATAAGCATACTACAAAAATTAAAACAAATGCCTATTTAGGTGTGAGTGCAGACCTTAAAGTTGATAAAACCTACCAGGTATTGTTCCCAGTCCCTTTCCATGACCTCATAACAGCTTTCTCTTACTATTAGTTTCCCCCAGTTATCAAAGGAATTGACGACTCTCCAGCCCTTGGCTTCCTCTTACCTTCACTAAGGAATGTCACTTACCTAGTTGTTTTCTGCCCCTCTGATTATCACAAAATCAGCCTAGTCCTGGTCCCATTTTAGAAGTGATTTGTTCTTGACTCATAGTAAAATTTAGTAATAGTCTAATAACTGAAATTCCTTTATCCTCCCCCTTATCTGTGCCAAGCTATTAAGATATGATTTAATGTGTTATCTCACTGAGGAAGATCAAATGGGAAGTGTGTGTATATGTTGTTTTAAATATCAAATGCAGGATTAAGTTAATCAAGACTGGTCATTTTTTGGCTATTTTTTTAAAAAAATTTTATTAATATAATGAGAACAGATTTTATGCATTCCATAAGATACAGTTTCAAGAAGACAACCATGCTTCCCTCACTCTCCTGCTGTCCCCAAATCCCCATTCCTCCCTTCCCTCTTTTCATCAGTTTTTGCAAAGCCACAATTTTAATCTACTCTATATTCACAGGTTTAATTTGTCATTAATCATGATTTTCAAGAAGTAAGAAGTAGGAAGACCACAGTTATACAGAAGTATAAATAAGGGCTAAAAACAATCATATCCCCAAATGACATTTCATTCCTATACATTCTTTGGTATTCTATATTAACTGCCCCATATAAGAGAAAACATATGATATTTGTCTTTTTGAGACTGGCTTATTTCACTAAGCATAATGGTTTCCAGTTGCATCCATTTTGTTGCATAAGACAGGACTTCATTTTTTATGGCTAATTAGTAATCCATAGTGTGTAGATACCACATTTTTTCATCCAGTCATCAGTTGATGGACATCTGGGTTGATTTCATATCTTAGTTATCACAAAGTGAGCTGTGATAAATACGGGGGTAAAATAACTTCTTTTTTTTTTATTTAATTTTTTTTGCTAGGCAGAGTGGACAGTGAGAGAGAGAGACAGGGAGAAAGGTCGTCCTTTACCGTTGTTTCACCCTCCAATGGCCGCTGCAGCCGGCGTGCTGCGGCCAGCGCACTGTGCTGATCCGAAGCCAGGAGCCAGGTGTCTCCCATGCGGGTGCAGAGCCCAAGGACTTGGGCCATCCTCCACTGCACTCCCAGGCCACAGGAGAGAGCTGGCCTGGAAAAGGAGCAACCGGGACAGAATCCGGCACCCCGACTAGGACTAGAACCCGGGGTGCCGGCGCTGCAGGCGGAGGATTAGCCTATTGAGCCACGGCACTGGCCAAAATAACTTTTTTTTTTAATGACTTTATTTGAGAGGTAGAATTAAGACAGAGAGAGGGAGAGACAGAAAGGTCTCCCATCTGCTGGTTCACTTCCCAAATGGCTGCAATAGCAGGAGGTAGGCTGATCTGAAGCCAGGAGCCAGGAGCTTCTTCTGGGTCTCCCACTTGGGTGCAGGGGCCTAAGCACTTGGGCCATCTTCTGCTTTCCCAGGTCATAAGCAGAGAGCTGGATTGGAAGAGGGGCAGCTGGGACTCAAACTGGCACCTATATGGGATCCTGGCCCTGCAGGTGGATGCTTGTCTACTATGCCACAGTACCGGCCCTCAAATAACTCTTTCAGATACTAATTTCATTTCATTTGGATAAATTCCCAGGAGTGGAATGGCTGGGTAAGACTGGCTATTTTGTAGCATATTATGGCTCAAGTGGTATATTTATTCCTTTATTTTCATTTGCCACTCTCATTCCCTGTTCACCCTGAAATTTTTAAAGATTTATTTATTTATTTGAAAGTCAGAGTTACACAGAGAGAGGAGAGGCAGAGAGAGGTGGAGAGAGAGAGAGTCTTTGATCCAATGGTTCACTCCCCAGTTGGCCGATCCAAAGCCAGGAGCCAGGAGCCAGGAGCTTCCTCCAGGTCTCCCACGCAGGTGCATGGGCCCAAGGACCTCTATCTTCCACTGCTTTCCCAGGCCATAGCAGAGAGCTGGATTGGAAATGCTGGGTATTGAATCGGTGCCCATATGGGATACTGGTGCTTCAGGTCAGGGTATTAACCTGCTGCACCACAGTGCCAGCCCCCTAATATTTATTTATTTATTTATTTGAAAGAGTTACAGAGAGACAAAGAGAAACAGATTTTCCATCCAGTGTTTACTTCCCAAAAGACCGCACTGCCAGAGCTGGGTCAGGCCAAAGCCAGGAGCCAGGAGCCAGGAAAATGATCTGGGTCTCCCACATGGTTGTAAGTGCCCAAGTTCTTGGGCTATTTTTTGCTGATTTCTTAGGCATATGAACATGGAGCTGGATTGGAAGTGGAGCACCCAGGTCTTGAACCTGCACCACCATGCTGGCTATAACAATATTTTCTAAAGTAATGACCTCAACGGAATTACCCTATGTTAACAGACTATTGGACTATCATGCACTGAAACACAATGAGGAGGAGTCTTTGGGAATGTGCAAGGTTTTCCCAAGAGACTTCAAGTTATATTATCTTCAGAGGCTCATTTTATTCTTTTAATGCAATGATTCAGTAGTCACTTTTTTTCTTTAAAAGATTTATTTATGTGGAAGTCAGAGTTACACAGAGAGAGAAGGAAGAGGCAGAGAGAGATAGAGAGTGAGAGGTCCTCCATTCGCTGGTTCACTCCCTAGTTGGCCGCAAGACTGGAGCTGGGCCAATCTGAAGCCAGGAGCCAGGAGCTTCTTCTGGGTCTGCCACATGGGTCAGGGGCCCAAGGATTTGGGCCATCTTCTACTGCTTTCCCAGGCCACAGCCAAGAGCTGGATGGAAGTGGAGCTGCCAAGACTTGAACCGGCACCAATATGGGATGCTGGCCTCCAGTAGTCACTATTAACTGGGTCTGGAATCAGGATGGACTTTCAGTTGTTGCTGAAATAAATGTTTTCATATAACAAGGTCCTCTTACATCTATCAAGTATTGTGAACTTAGTCATCACACAACCTTACTTTATTATTAAATTATTTTGACAGATTTATAAGCTTAATCAACCTGTTGGATTTGGGATAAACAAACATGCAGCCTACTATTAACTGCAAACATTTATTATTTCCATTACTATTAGCAGTGTCCACCAATAGCATTACATAATTCATACCATGAAGATATTGTATACCTCAAAAAATTATATCATATTACTTTACATTTCCTGTATCTCATTTACTCAGTAAAACCTTTTTTAAAAAAGATTTATTTATTTATTTGAAAGTCAGAGTTACACAGAGAGAGGACGAGAGGCAGAAAAAGAGAAAGAGAGGTCTTCCATCCACTGGTTCACTCCCCACCTGGCCGCAACAATGAGCTGGGCTGATCTGAAGCCAGGAGCTTCTTCCGGCTCTCCCACACATGTGCACACGGGTTCAGGGGCCCAAGGACTTGGGCCATCTTCTGCTTTCCCAGGACATAGCAGCTGGATCAGAAGTGGAACAGCTGGGATTCAAACCGGTGCCCATATGGGATGCCAGCACTGCAGGTAGCAGCTTTACCTGCTACACCACAGCACTGGCCCCAAGTAAAAGCTTTTACCATAAAATAATTACTGATATTAATATTCAATCAGAAATTCACTAATAGAAGCGATGTTTTAAAAAGATTTATTTATATCTACTTATTATTTATTTATTTGAAAGGCAGTGCAACAGAGACAAAGAGATCTTCTACCCACTGGTTCCCAAGGCCAGGGCTGCACTAGGCTGCAGTCAGGACCCAGGAAGTCCATCCAGGTCTCCCACATGGGTGTCAGAGGCCTAAATACTTATACCATCATCTGTTGCTTTCCTAGGAGCATTAGCAGGAAGCTGGATCAGATGCAGAGTAGCCCAGATTCCAACAAGCACTCTGATATAAGATTCTGGCATCAAAAGCAGTGGCTTAACCTGCTGAATCACAACATCAGCCTCCCAACAATTTTTTTTTTTAATGTATTTATTTATTTGCAAGTCAGAGTTACACAGAGAGAGGAGAGGTAGAAAGAGAGTCTTCCATCCAATGGTTCACTCCCCAGTTGGCTGCAAGGGCCAGAGCTGCGCTGACCCGAAGCCAGAAGCCAGGAGCCCCCTCAGGGTCTCCCATGCAGGTGCAGTATATTTTTAAAACTATTTATTTATTCATTCATTCATTTATTTAAGTCAGAGTGGGTCATCATCCTCCACTGCCCTTCCCAGGCCACAGCAGAGAGCTGGATGAGAAGCACAGCTGCCGGGCTGTGAACTGGCACCCGTGTGGGATGCCAGCTCTTCAGGCCAGGGCGTTAACCCACTGACCCACAGTGCCAGCCCCAACAATGATTTTTTTTAAGGTAGAAAATAGTGTATCTTTTGTATCTTTTTTTTTTTCTGTAGATCAGGATAAGGTTTGTAATTATACTTTGCAATTTTCTTTCCAAATTTTAAACTCTCTAATGAAAAAAAAATATTTAAGTAAAAATCATGAAAGGCAGGAACTAGCTTCTATTTTCTTTGCCCCTCTCTTCTGCTTTTCTGAGCCTTACATTTACGGAGCTCATATATCTTGTTTTTCCTTGCTTTTTTGTTAATTAGGTTACAGGAGGCCTACTTTTTTTTTTTTTTTTTTTTTAAATTACTGTGTTAAGGGGGTTCACTGTGGTGTAGCGGGTTAAGCTGCTGCCTGTGATGCCGGCATCTCATATGGGTGCCTGAGTCCCAGATGTTCTACTTCCTATCCAGCTCCCTGTTAATGTGCCTGGGAAAGAAGTGGAAGATGGTCCAAGTACTTGGGTTCCCTTACCCACCTGGGAGACCCAGATGAAGCTCCTGGCTCCAGGTTTCAGCCTGGGCCAGCCCTGGCAATTGCAGCCATTTTGGGGAGTGAACCAGCAGATGGGAGATCTTTTTCTTTAACTCTGACTTAAACAAATGAATGAAGAAATAAATAAATAGTTTTAAAAATATACTATCGGGAATTCTACCCTACTATATATTTCTTTCTTTTTTTTAAAGATTTATTTATTTCAGAGGTAGAGTTACAGACAGTGAGAGGGAGAGACAGAAAGAAAGGTCTTCCATCCGCTGGTTCACTCCCCAAATGGCTGCAACAGACGGAGCTGCGCCGATCCGAAGCCAGGAGCCAGGTGCTTCTTCCTGGTCTCCCACTTGGGTGCAGGGGCCCAAGCACTTGGACCATTTTCCACTGCTTTCCCAGGCCATAGCAGAGAGCTGGATTGGAAGAGGAACAGCTGGGACTAGAACAGGCGCACCAAATGGGATGCCAGCGCCGCAGGCAGAGGATTAACCTACTGCACTATGGTGCTGGCCCCTCCTAATATATTTCAAACAACCTGCGAACTTGGCCCTATTTGATTTCACCCATGTGTGTTCTAACAAGTAGAGTATCTCTTGTTTATAAATATTACTTAAAGGAATGAATGGATTTTTTTCCTTAAGTAGTTATTACTGCTATTTTAACTTTTAAAAAAAGATTTAAACATGGAAACAACTGTCCTCCAAAATACTCTCAATATCACTATTCATGATTACTTGTTTAGAGTAAGCAGGAACAATCCCTAACAGGATGGTGAAATATCAACAGAATATTAAAGAAAAAAAAAGGAACACAGCTTTTCCTTTATTAAACTCACTTATAACAAAATTAAAGAAGTTGGTATTTTTTAGAATAATAATGTTAAGTATTTTGTGATGTAGATATTTTATATTATAAAAATATATTTCTATCTTTATTCCCGTATTTAAAAAAAAATTTTTTTTTTGACAGGCAGAGTGGACAGTGAGAGAGACAGAGAGAAAGGTCTTCCTTTGCCGCTGGTTCACCCTCCAATGGCCGCCGCAGCCGGCGCGCTGCAGCCAGCGCACCGCGCTGATCCGATGGCAGGAGCCAGGAGCCAGGTGCTTTTCCTGGTCTCCCATGGGGTGCAGGGCCCAAGCACCTGGGCCATCCTCCACTGCACTCCCTGGCCACAGCAGAGAGCTGGCCTGGAAGACGGGCAACCGGGACAGAATCCGGAGCCCCAACCGGGACTAGAACCCAGTGTGCCGGCGCCGTTAGGCGGAGGATTAGCCTAGTGAGCCACGGCGCCGGCCTAAAATATTTTTTGAAAGTTATACAGGGGCGCGGGGTAGAAACAGAGATCTTCCACCCACTGGTTTACTACCCAGATGGCTGCAATGGCCAAGGCTGGGCCAGGCTGAAGCCTGGGTCCCTGAAGAAGCTCCTGGCTCCTGGCTTCAGATCAGCTCAGCACTGGCCATTTGGGGAGTGAACCAGCAGATTAAAGACCTCTCTTGTTGTCTCTCCCTCTCTGTCTGCAACTCTACCTCTCAAATAAATAAATTTTTTAAAAAAGAGAGAGAGGTGGAGCAGCCAGGACATGAACTGGCACCTATATGGGATGCTGACACAGCAGGCAGTGGCTTTATCTCCTATACCACAACACTGGCACCCAAACTACTATTTTTAAAATAGAAGGCAAGGTAAATTTGAATCCTGGCTCTGCACTTGCTATGAGATCTTGGTCAAGCCATCTGACCTTGCTAAGCCTTACCTTCTCTGTGAAATGTGATAACATCTACCTCTAGAGAGGTTGGTTACTTAAGTAAATTGAATGTGGGTAACTTAACACTGTTTCTGGCACATGCTAAGCGCTCAGTATGGCCCCTATCATTAAGTGAGTTCCGGATCGGTGTTTGGCCTAGTGGTTCATAGGCCCCACAGCATATATTGGAGTGCCTGCATTCCATATTTACCCCCAGCACCTGAGAGCAGCTTCCTGCTAATGCAAACTCTGGGAGGCAGGGGTGACAGTTTCCTGCCACCTATATGGGAGACTCAGACTGAGATCCTTGCCAGCTTTTTTCTCCAACTCCTCCTATCCCTAACACAGTTTCTGGTATTTGGAAAAAGAACCAGCAAATGTGAACTTTCCAGCTTGTCTGTCTCTCAAATATATAAAATTGCATCAGTAACTGTGATGTAGGCAGGCATATAGTGATTCACAATACAGACGCACGTGGATAAGAATACACAGTTTCAATCTGATTCAAGGGATGGTAGTAGGTAGTAGAAGGCTTTTTTTTTTTTTTTAATTGGGAAGCGGAGAGACAGCACCTACCTGGTTCCCTCCCTAAATGTGCAAGTGCAGAACCGGGCCAGGGTGGAGCAGGGAACTCGGTCAGGTCTCCTACGTGTGTGGCAGGGGCCCAATCACTTCACCCATCACCGCTGCCTCCCAGGGCCTGCATCGGCGGGAATCAAACCCAGGCCTCAGATATAGGAGGCGGGCATCTCAACCGCCAGGCGTTTTAGTGGCTGGATTTTGGATACTATCTTCAAATATGACGGTATATAATTACCCAAGTGCAAAAACTGATAATTTACGTACCGCTCGCGCTTTAAAACTGCAGGGTCCACTCTGAGCTCAGAGAAGACATGTGCCTTATACTACACCTGCCTATATGCAAGGCCAGACAACGACAAAGCACGTCGAACGGGAGTCCGAGGACAAAACATGATAGCCCAAAATACGCAGGTTCACATCCACGAAGATTAAAAAATGAGCAAATAAACACGTCTAAAGGGTAAGGTAACAGCGCCCAGCTTACAAACTCGCCAGCCATTGCCGGGTACCGGCCTCGCGGCGCATGCGGCTGCAGCGCGACAGAGGCGGGGCCGCGGCCGTAAAGCAGTGCGCGGGGTCCCCGTGGCGTCTAGGCGGCTACAGACGCCCTTGGAAGTTCTTGGCCCGGCAGGTCATGGCGGGGTCCGTACGGGGCGGAGGGGCCAGGGCCCTGGACCTCCTGCGGGCTTTACCGCGTGTGAGCCTGGCCAACTTAAAACCTAATCCCGGCTCCAGGAAACCGGTAAATGGCTGGTGGCGGGCGGGGAAGCCCTGGGGACCCGAGAGATGTCCGTGGCCTTTCACTTTTGGAGGGTGTTGGGAGTGAATTTAGGGTTGCCGAGCCCCTGTGTCCTCCTTAAAACTGCAGAGGAAAGACCAAGGAGCTCCCAGATCTTAATGAGATTTCTATTTTAAAGCATGAAAATGTTCATTAGGTAAGAGGGGCAAACTCGCATAAACTAAAATGATTGTGTCGTTCAAAATTGGATTCAAAATGAAATGATTTTCCAGTGAATTTGCGTGGAAAGAGTTGATTGTTGTGCGAGCTGTTTGTTTTGTAACTCACTGAATATAACTGGAAAAGCTGTTAGTTGACATAGCATCATCAACAGAATTAATTCGTTGCTTTTGTGAAGCCACAGGAGTAACATTATACGGAAAATCTTTTTGTTTGTTTCCAAATAATGTTTGTAACAATTACATGTTTAGAATTTCAAAATGAAGATTTTCTTGACTATCATTTACATTTGTTGAGGATCTAGGATTTTTTTTTTCCAGTCCTGGCTTATTATAGATTCCTTGTCCCCATCCTATCCTTGGAACTTGCCTTGGATTCAGGAATTAGCTACGTCTTCAAAGATACTGATGGGGTGTTTGGATGTTTGCCTTAGAGTGTTAGCTTTCAGTGTTTAGTGGAATGAACAGGTGGCATCACAAGAAAATACACAGTGAAGAGGAGAAGTATATACAGTTTTCTCAAATGCATCTATAGGTATAAATTTCTCTTGTTTGCTTGTAGGAGAGACGGCCAAGAGGTCGGAGAAGAGGTAGAAAATGTGGCAGAGGCCATAAAGGAGAAAGACAGAGAGGAACCCGGCCCCGACTAGGCTTTGAGGGAGGCCAGACTCCATTTTACATCCGAATCCCAAAATACGGGTTTAATGAAGGACACAGGTAAGTTTGCTTTACTTTTTAAAGTGTAGACCCCCTCTAATTTCCATTGAGAGTTACCTAAAGAAATAGTTTGGTTTAAAAAAATGAACAAAAAAACCAGAAAATAGTTTGGTAGAAATTTTAAATTCATTTTGAAGCAAGCTCTTGGTATTGTTTTGTCTGAACTGTTTTTGGTATTGAAAATTGGTCTGGATTAGTAGAGGACATTGTACTTGGACCTGCAAATGATCATGATAATGTCTGCTCTCCTATGGCTATGTATAGGATTGGAAATATTTACAAATACACAGTCTAAGCCATTGTAGTCATCCAATAAATGATAACTACTGTTATTACTTTGAGCTCAACTAATTCATTATTTAAATAGAAATTTGTCTTTTGTGTAAATGAGTGAAGTGCATGGTTAGACAAGTTCTTTTTAGTGGAACAAAAGAAGTACTGGTTTTATTACCCTAACTCAAATAATTATGTAAAATGAAGTAAAAGTGAAAATTAAATACATACATTGTTAACAGGAGGATGTTATTTTGCTAAACCATCAAACATAATGGAAGAAAACACAGGACAAAGTTTTGAGTTGATTTAGAGAAGTTACAGGAATCTTAATTTGAGTTTTTGAACTGTTACATTCTCATTCTATAGCTTCAGACGCCAGTATCAGCCTCTGAGTCTCAATAGACTGCAGTATCTTATAGATTTGGGACGAGTTGACCCTACGCAACCTATTGACTTAACCCAGCTTGTCAATGGGAGAGGTGTGACCATCCAGCCCCTCAAAAGGGATTATGGTGTCCAGCTGGTAGAGGAGGTAAGACTGGTGTAGGTCTTTCAGTGCTGCATACAAAGGTATTTCCTCAGTGCCATATAATTAACACTTTGCTTTTTTATTTTCACCCCATTTGAGTTGTGTTCATAAATAACCATCTCGTAGTTGTTATTAGCCCAGTCTGTGGTTTTGAAAAGTCAGTGGCTCTGCCCTGCTCTTCAGAGTGTCCAAACAGCTTGCTCTCTCACTTCCTTTGGTTCTCTTCTCAAATGTCTACATATGAGAATAGTTTTTTTTTGACAGCTTTCTGTAAAAGAGTACTTTTTTTTATCCTGCTTAGAGCATTTTTCTTTGAGTATAAATGAGCATCTGACCCTTATTACCAAGTTGTACTTTTATTTTTCATTGTTTCCTTTATATGGTACAAGCTCTCTTGAGGGCACTACTTTGATTCATTGATTCATTTTCAGTAGTGGAAATATTTTCTCATGATAGTCACTCAACCTTTGTTTATGGAGAAAAGGAATGGATGAAATCCCACTCCAATTGCAGTAAAGACATTTTCTATTTGTTTTAAGAATTAGCCTGGGCCGGCGCCGCGGCTCACTAGGCTAATCCTCCGCCTTGCGGCGCCGGCACACCGGGTTCTAGTCCCGGTCGGGGCGCCGGATTCTGTCCCGGTTGCCCCTCTTTCAGGCCAGCTCTCTGCTGTGGCCAGGGAAGTGCAGTGGAGGATGGCCCAAGTGCTTGGGCCCTGCACCCCATGGGAGACCAGGAGAAGCACCTGGCTCCTGCCATCAGATCAGCGCGGTGCGCCGGCCACAGCGCGCCGGCCGCGGTGGCCATTGGAGGGTGAACAAATGGCAAAGGAAGACCTTTCTCTCTGTCTCTCTCTCTCTCACTGTCCACTCTGCCTGTCAAAAAAAAAAAAAAAAAAAAAAAAAAAAAAAAAAAAAAAAGAATTAGCCTGGAGTTCATAGTTAAGTTTTTGTACTGTTTCTTCTGTATAGCTGTGTAGATAACTTTGTGTCCACTAGAGGGAAGCATATGTTTTTTGGAAGAAGTTTGTAGATTGCTTTGAAAAAGCCAATCTACTGATAAAAGCTTTCTAAATGAAGTAATTTGAAAAAAGAATACCAAATACATGATTAAGCCTTATTTGTCTACCCTAGCTATATAAAGAAATACACATGTACCTTAACATATGGGAAAATCCATGACCTTATGCTTAACTGCATATCCCACAGTCCTGGAGGATTGTGTCTATTAAACCAGCAAAAACAATCCTGAAAATTCTGCCTGAAGGCAGTGATTGAAGAGTGAGTTCTACATCTTTGCAAATGTGTAAATTGGTTTACCTTTTCTGGATGTCAGATTTTCAGGAAATAGTGCATAGTAACACTGTTTTGGTCCTTTAGTAAAGAATCAACCAATTTGGGAATATATGTTCCCAAGGAAAAGAAAAATGAAAAGAAGCCTGAAATAAAGATAGTCCTAAAAATGCCATTTATAATACTGAAGATATTGGAACCTACACCAGTGTCTAAGAAAAGGGAGATGGTTGAGCAGTCTATGAAGTAGAACTTGTCTACGAAGTAGAACATGTAGCATGGCAAGGCCCTTTCCTAGTGAATTAAAAATACATTGGTTATAAAAATGTGTTGTGGTAATAGCATGCTAAGCTGCTGCTTGGGTTAGCTACATCCCCCATTGGAGTGCCTGGGATTGAGCCTGCATCTGCTTGTGATTTAGCTTCCTGCTAATGCACCGGGGAGGCAGATGATGCTCAAGTATGTTGGTTCCTGCCGCTTACATAGGAGACCTGGATTGAACTCCTAGCTCCTTGGCTTTGGCTAGGCCCAACCTTGGCTGTTGTGGGCATCTGGGAAGTGAAGCAGTAGGTAAATGATCTCTCTCTCTCTCTTTCTCTCTCTCACTCTTTCTCACTCTCTCTCTCTCACTTTCTCATCACTCTCCCTTTCAAATAATAAATAAAACTTGAAAAAAATGCAAACCATGTCAAAATGTAAAATATGTGAGAAAGTGTATTTTAGAATTGATGGTGTGTTTTTGAAATACATGAAAAGTTATTAACTTACAAAAGGAGCCAGCCTGGGAGCCGATTTATTTCAGCTGCAGTAAATGATTTATATTGCATCGAGAGTGAATTAGTTGTCTTCATTTTATTTTTATTAGAATTTATTTTGAAAGTATGAGAAAATATAACATCCTAACTAAATATGACTAAAAACAGAACTTTGAAAAGTTCACTATTATATATTCTAATGTTGAACATTCTAGGGAAATGTTCACACCCCCCCCCCCCCCCCCCGCCTTGCTTAAAGGCTTTAATAAAAGTGGGGAATGCAAAGCTAGTATCTGTTGTCTTCTGCCTTTTTCCCTGGAAGGGGCAGACCCCTGTGGAGCGCAGTGTCAGATACTCTGTTCTTCCTGTTCCAGCTCACTTCTCTCCCTCATTACCTTTCTGTTAGGTTCTTTCCTTACTGACAAAGGGAGAAGGAAAAATCGTTCTCACCTACATCATGCAGCACAGTGTGCTCACAAACACTGTGACTAGAGTGCTGGAGTAGAATTCTAGCCTTGTGATCTCAGGCATATTGCTTAAACCTGTGCTTCAGCAACCTCATCTGTGAAGCTGGTATGGTAGTGATCCTGTCATGGGCTGTGATGACAATCAGTAATCCTTTTTTAATGAAGTACCAGGAATGGGTGTCTTCTGAGTACATAAAATGGATGGAAATGTAGTCCTTTGTATTGCCAGTGATTGAAATTGGTGAAACACAGTATCCTAAATAAAATGTAAAGCAGTATAATACATCACACCTGAAAGCAGAGACACTTACTTATTTTTAAAGATTTACTTATTTGAAAGTCAAAAAGAGTTGCAGAGAAAGAGGGAGAGACAGAAAAATCTTCTATTCCCAAATGACTGCAACAGCTGAGACTGGTCCAGGTTGAAGCCTGGAGCCTTGAACTCTGTCCTGGTCTCCCATGTGGGTGGCAGGGGCCCAAATGCTTGGGCCATCTTCTGCAGCTTTCCTAGGTGTGTTAGCAACCAGCTAGTTTG